GGGGGGTCGGCTAAAACCATAGGGATGAAACCAGACCCCAGGGTCTACAGGGGTGGGGCAACACCCCGGAGCCATCCTGGTAACATGTGTAATTTTCTTTTTATTCTCAGCAAATCGTATGTGATGTGGATCGCAACCATTTTAGACTCTTTTTTTGGCCCAGCAATACAAATGTATACAATTTTGAATCTCCGCGGAAATTCACTTAAAGCATTATGGACAAATAATCCCCTTGGCCCAGTCCTTCAGCCATAATGTTGAATCCACACCTCCTACAATGCTTCCGGCCAAAGTTTGACATACATCTTTTAGCTCTGCTCCTGAGGGGCCACAAACTTCATTTACATAAAATGGAGTGTCACTTGCCAAAGGATGCTCAAAACCGGTTCAAACCCCTCCTTTCATATCGAAGGAGAATTTGAATATTAAGTTGAATTTTCCCTATTGGGCCACGCATTCTGCCGATTGACTCGCTCTATTCATACAAAAGTAAGTTGTTTTGCGTGTAGGTTCTCTAGTCCAAAATTGGTTAAAATTCCTTCCTTCTATTGAAAGGGAAATATTTTGAAGCAGTTTTCTTTCTTTCCCCTTTTGGGCCCTGCTCCTCTGTCCCCTGAGGGTAATACCGTCCATTTATACAAAATGCAGTCCCCTTTGTCTACAGATGATCAAGAACAAATTTGGTAGTAATCCCAATATTTAAACAGAAGGAGGCCGTTTTATAATTATTTACCTGTATTTTCCCTAATGTGCCCTGTCCCCACTAGGGAGGTAACATTCTCTGTTTTCCCTTTGCCCAAAGATGCTCTAGAAAAAGTTTGGCTAAAATCCATTCAATGGTAAACAGGAGTAAGATTTTGAATTCTTTTCCTTCTATTTCTCTTATTCGGACCCATCCTCTGACCCAACAGGAGGGCACATTCTCACTTTATTCAAAATTGAGTCCTCTTTCCCCATAGATGTTTCAGACCACATTTGGTTTAAATCCCTTCATATGTACAGAAGGAGAATTATTTTCATCTATTTACCCTATTGGACCCTTCTCCTCTGCCCAAAGGGGTTTAAATCTTTTGTTTATAAAATTATAGAAAAAAAATGAGTCCTCTTTCCCCAAAGATGTTCCAGTCCACATTTAGTTTAAATCCTTTCATATGTACATGAGGGGAAAAGTTGAGACAATGCATGTGCACTATAGCATAAACTCACTTGGCCCTATGGCCAGTTGAAGGAGCTAAAAATAAAGAATAAGAAATCTCAATGTTTTCTTGCAGCAATATTTCTCTTATGATCAAGCAACTTGAAGCTTAAAACAAAATATGAAAAACTAGCTAACAAGAAGAAATTACTTATTTAGAAATAGGGATGACTTATTACTTGACTGTCAAAATTCAAGATGGCTGTTTGGTGTCCATCTTGTTTTTCGGATCAGTTTCAAGATGCACCATAGATCAAGGAGAACTTTGATGTCAAATGAGAAAGATTCATCAAGTACTTCTTGAGCGACACAAACTTGAACGGTCAAAATCCAAGATGGATGTCTTGCAGCCTTGTTTTCTTTTATCCCATTCAAAATGAAACACGCATAACTACAGACAACGGGGAACATACAAATGAAATCTGACATAGACCTTCTAGAGAAGTAGTGATAACAAGGCAGCTAAGCGAGCTCAGACAAAGAAGGGTTCAAAAAATAAAATTTAACACAATAGACTTAATAACACAAGACAAAATATGTAACAAGGAAGTACATCAAAATTGATTTATTTCCACTTTTTGTTGAATATTTCCGTGCACATACACAACACATAGGTGACTATGAGCCACCCTGTATATACTAACATAACATCTCTCAAAAACAATAACTATTTAACAGACTTCATACCTATACAAAATACAAGGAAGATAGAACTGAACAGGGAGTCGGTCACACTACCGTAATTGACACCAGGAGGAAATTTACATTCTCACAGAGAGTCTGTCACATTACTGAGACTGACAACAGGAGGAAATTTACATTCTCACAGAGTCTGTCACACTACCGTAATTGACACCAGGAGGAAATTCACATTCTCACAGAGAGTCTGTCACATTACTGAGACTGACAACAGGAGGAAATTTACATTCTCACAGAGTCTGTCACACTACCGTAATTGACACCAGGAGGAAATTTACATTCTCACAGAGAGACTGTCACATTACTGTGACTGACAACAGGAAAAAATTTACATTCTTACATGGAGTCTGTCACATTACTGTGACTGACAACAGGAGGAAATTTACATTCTCACAGAGAGTCTGTCACATTACTGTGCCTGACAACAGGAGGAAGTTTAGATTCTCACAGAGAGTCTGTGACATTACTGTGACTGACAACAGGAGGGAATTTACATTCTCACAGAGAGTCTGTAAAATTACTGTGACTGACAACAGGAGGTAATTTACATTCTCACAGAGTCTGTCACACTACCGTAATTGACACCAGAAGGAAATTTACATTCTCACAGAGAGACTGTCACATTACTGTGACTGACAACAGGAGAAAATTTACATTCTTACAAGGAGTCTGTCACATTACTGTGACTGACAACAGGAGGAAATTTACATTCTCACAGAGTCTGTAACATTACTGTGACTGACAACAGGAAGAAATTTACATTCTCACAGAGAGTCTGTCACATTACTGTGACTGACAACAGGAAGAAATTTACATTTTCACAGAGAGTCTGTCACATTACTGTGACTGACAACAGGAGGAAATTTACATTCTTACAGGGAGTCTGTCACACTACCATGACTGACAACAGGGAAAAAAATACATTCTTCTACACTTTACATACAAACTTGTTTTATAATCTTGTAAAATAAAAAGTGTATAATAACATCATTTTGTAACATGCAAGATTTCTGTGGCAGTTTTCATCCACGCAAGAAATTCTCATGATGTATTAAATCTACACCTATAAATCTGTACCTACAAATGAGTTCTTTATACATGTAATACTGGACAGTTGAAAACATTATTTTGATTTTATAAAACATAAAATCTGTGAGAGATATGATAATAACAAATTCAGAAAGCGAAAAATTCTTATGTATGTTTGGGTGCATCACAAAAAGGATATGGAGGTTTTGTGCATATCCTCCAGAACAATGTCTTGACATCACTAAATAGTGCATCAGAGTTCTCTACTTAGTTTTTATATTGAATCATGGTTTGAATTAAAATCTAAATTATCCACATATTAAAAGTTAGAACATATTTTTAACTGATGGTATCACAATAAAAATGTTCTTTATAATTCCGTGATTAATCGTTATGAATCGAGTATTCCAAAACCTTTTGTTTAGCCTTCACACAATACACGTACTAGCATGACAAAAATGTTTGGCAGGTAGGCGTAGCTATTATGAAAACAATAAAAATCAAATAAGAGCTCAAACAGTATTTGACATGAAAACAAAATCAATATCTTATCATCAAAACAGGATTTTATGCCATAAAATACACCACAAATAAAACCTCCCTTATTTTGACCCAAATTCCCTTAAAATGAAACCAAAACTCCCAGATTGGTCTCCAGGAAATCTAACATGCATG